TGCAGAATATCCATCACTTGTAGTTCTCTAATAACTGCTCCAGACATTTAGCAGCCCACGAAGAGCCCTTTTTTATGGACATCTTTCTAAATTCAGTAACTCTAATAGAAACTATGAGCAACTGGTGACATGGGTGTGGCCGTATGTCACCCAGAAGAACACGGCATGGGAACTTGTGATATCTTGTAGCAGCTGTCCTCGTTTCCTACCAGCTACTTCCTGCAGCAGTCTCAGTACATCACCTTCCAGCTTGACTCACTGCCGCATTGCATGCATGGCCCTGTAGTCTCTGCAGGCTATCCCGCTGATTAAACATCAAGGCTGCTACAGACAGTGTTGGAGAACTCCACGTGCCATGTATTTGCCACCCCAGCAGCAAGGTAATTAGTTTCCAGCTGCCCCAAACATCCTGCAGCATTTTGTGATGAGCCTATATATTTTAAAAAAACAAAAATAAAGAAATCTGGAGTTTATAATCTACCTCCAGTAGCAATATGCTTTACCGGCCTCTTTACACACATTAAAAAGCAAATCTCAGAATTAGTGACTGTGGCCTTACTGTTGTTGTTTATTCCTTTCAATTTGAATCCTTCTGTTGCCACCAAAAGTTGTTTGAGCATGAGCCAGGCTCTTCTCTCCCTATCTACCCTGGGTTTCTTTTTCCACATCCTCTGTGTTATTATGTCTGTCAAATTTTCCATCTCTAAGCACCAATTGACGCAGGGCTTCTTTTGATTGTTCCCTTCTTCTTCCCCCGGCAGCCCAGTGCCATGCTTGTCATAACATACAGATAACTTCTTTTCTGGATAATTTTGGAGATAAGCATGCTGATAAATCTGGGCATTTGTTATAAAGTCATTCCATTTAATTCAAAGGCATTTAAGTGTCTGTCCATATCTTTGGCATATTTCTAGCTTTCATATCCTTATATTAAGGAGGAAATAACACTGTAATGGAAAAGAAAAAGATTCATATCTGTCATGCTTAGGTCAGCAAGCAACCAAGCAAAGCAAGCTGCTAGTCCTGTGCTGTTTATCTTTACTGTTCTTGTAATGGTTTAGTGTTTATATTGTATAGCCTTCCCAGGAAGCACTTGCCATTGCAAACACAGAGTTCTCCAAGTAATGCTTTCTTTTCCCAGCCATCTGATCCCTTCCCTTGCGTGCGGGCACTTGCAGCACTGGGCTGTAGCCTTGCAGAAGTGGATGGCCCAGTCACCCAGCGCTGAGGGTCACCCACTTCGGGACTTGAGACTGATATGGTAGCTCCTTAGGGAAATAAAGCAGCGGTATGTCTGGTGCATCACTTGTAGGTTGGGTGATCTGTGATGGGAACTAAAGGCACTGTGCGGTAACATGCTGCGACTGCGCAGGTGAAAGCTCATTTGAAAAAGTATCTGGATTTCTGCCTTGTTAACCTGTGGTATTTCAACTCCAGCTCTGATTGGGCATGTATTCTTAGGATGCTCGTCTAGCCTTTTCTGAGACGAATATATAGCACATGTTCAGCTGCACCAAAGGTACAGGTAATAAGAACTGACAGGGCCATCAGTGAAGCTGGCCCTTCTTCCCACTGCACATTGCTGATTTAATCTGTGCAGCACCCTTACAATTGCTCTGTTCTTTACTCAATAACCCAGGTGCATAGTTTATGACCTGTTTTCTTAACCAGTGATGGAAACATTGTTGGACTCCTCTATAGCAAAGGGAAGTGTTTTCTAAATCCAGTACAGAAATGTGCTCAGGCTCGTTTTAATGGAGTCAAGGTAAAAGAAAAGATACATTTTCTCATCTCAGGAAAATTCTACTTCCCCTTTCAAGTTTGCTTCAGTGCCTTTGGCTCTCCAAACCGCCCCCATTTCTTAGGCCCCTGGCACAAGTTTATTGAAGGGCACCATGGGATCTGATCCCCCTCCCAACAATGGCTCCCTTCTGCCATGCTACACATCCCATACACCAGCCATTTCATGGTGCCTTAAATTGGCTGCACATATAGCACCCTAGCTGTTTATGCCTCAATTAACATGTTAATCAAGGCATAAATTTAATGCACAGAGGCCAAAGTTAGCAACCTCTCCCTGATGGGGGAGCTGTAATCAGCTCTGGTCAAGTCCAAACTTGGCTCAGTAATAGTGCAAGCACCGAGACATCCACATTTCTTCTTTATATAACCTCCATGCATAATATTGGAAACAATTGCAAGATTCCCATAGCCTCTTTGACACTGGACTTCAGTGACACAGGGATCCTGGTTTTCTCTGTTTAGAAATTGCAAATTCTCTGATTTTTTTTTTTAAACCTCACAACTTCTGTGATTAAAAAATCCAGAATCCATGATTAAAATGAAACGCCACTATGTGTGTATGTATGTATGTGTGTGTGTGTATATATAGGTATCAGTTGAACACCATGTTTTATTGATATATTTACAGTTTTAAAGCAGTTTGGAAGCCTAAATGTGCCTCAATCACTATAATAAAATAAATTCTAAATACTTAAAAATTTTGGCATTTGACTTTGGGTTTTCCCCCTGCTGCCTTTGCTCGCAAGGATACAGGTCCAGGCCCCTGACTCCCAGCCCCCCAACCCTGCTGATACCCCTCATTTCCCACCCACAGCCCCCCAAAGCCCTGTCAGAGGGGGCTGCCAGCTGCCAGGGCTACAGGGCCAGGGACCCAGGTCTGCAGCCCCTTGCCCCCCTGCAGCAGTGCCTGAGCCCCAGCTGTTGCTGGCGGGAGGTGGTGGCAGCTGCTGTAGTGGAGCCAACTTACCCACCCCCATGGGTGGCACAGCTGAAGCAGAGCCCATGGGGGGGAATGCAGGCTGCCTGCTGTGGGCTTGAGGCTCCCCACCCTGCTGCCCTCCCCCTGGTGTCTCCACGGCCCAGAGGGTGAGACCCGGTGCAGCAGGGCAGAGTGGGGCCGGGCAGGCAAGTTTGTTGCCACCAGTGGGAGCTTCGCGCTGCCATTGCAAGGTGCCCCCTCCCCACCTGGCAGCAGTGCATAACTTTGCACCACCACCCCTGCTGCTGCTGGGTGGGCAGGGGTCGCCTTACCATGGCGGTGTGGGGCTTGTGGTGGTAGCACTGGTGCAGCACTAAGCCCCACTCTGTCCTGCCACACCAGGTCTTGCCCACTGGGCCGCAGAGGCCCCAGAGAAGGGCACCAAGACAGGGAGCCCTGAGCCTGCACCGGACAGCCCACTGCCATGCCCCGCACACAAATCTGGGAAGCACGTGCTCCTCGGGAGTGTGCACAGCAGCAGGGAGCCAAACCCCTGCATGAGCTGCCCGTGGCCCTGTCTCACACCTCCTGGTCTTGGCAGCGCTTCCAGCCCCAGCTCTGCCCAACTCCTCCCTCCCAATGGGGGCCTCAATCCCCTCTTCCCACCCCAATTTACCTGCATGTGTATGTGTGCACACGTACATGGCACCCACTGGTGATCGCCCTCCTCCTGCGCCCCCAGCCCCTTGCAGACTGGAACTCTGCCAACCTGCAAGAGGAAACCCACTGTTTCCTGTGCTTTTCTCCTTTAAAGGAAAATCTGGGTTTTTCTCCTTAAAAATGAGAAAATCCAGGTTTTTCTCCTTAAAATTAGAAAATCCGGGTTTTACCGCATTTTTCCATGGCAAACGGAAAACCCCTGCACATCGTACAAAGAACAGGCATGTCAGATTCTCTAACAATTAGTGCAAGAGAGGATTTGATGTCATAAGGAGACTGAACTAACATCATCCAAGGATGGCTAGAGATCTACTCTGTCTACTTTTATATACACTCAAAAAACATTATTTGGGGAAAGGAGTAAAAAAACACTTAAAGAGGCTTGAATAATAAAGCAGAAAATGCGTTGCCTAGCATTGCATCTTGTACTCCTAGGAAACCAACTAGATGAACCAACCCATAGAGGGTGAAGCTTACCCTCGAGTAAAATAGTAGAAATTGGGTTGTACCCGTGTATATGGAGAATCAGACTTTGGGATGAAGGATATTTATTTATGCATGCATGCAGTTTATATGCCACTTTTCCCTGCAAAGGCTCAGGACAGCTTACAGTAGGAGAAACAGAACAACTTAAAAGGGCAACTAGTATAACTAAAATAAAACAAAATGAAGCAGAGGTCCAGTAAACAGCGTCTTGTTGCTAAATGCCTGCCCAAATAGAAAGGTCTTGCTGGAGCGGGGGGAGTTCCAGATCTGAGAAGCAGCTTCCAGAAATGACCTCCCAGGCATTTTCGCCAAGTAGACTTGGCAGACTGCTGGTACTTGTAAGAGGTTGCTCTCAGCTGGCCTTAGGGGATGTGATGGGGCACGGAGGTCAGTGGTTATGCTGTCCTTGAGTCAACAGGTAAACTATTTTTGTTAATGATTTTTAGCATTATATGGGTTGGGTCGATCTGATGGTTTGTTAGGTTGATGCCAAAATTAAACCCAATATAAAGGAATTTCCCTGGAAGATCATTATTAAAGTGAAAGTACTTTCAAATCTACTCCATACTGAAACTGAATATTGCTTGTGTGTCTCATCCTCAGCTTTTTGGGCAGAAACTGCAGCAAGTGAAATTTCTGTGAGGTTAGTGCATAGGAGGGAAAGCCTGCTCCAGGATGCACTTCTGGTTGTTCTGCAGACATTAATGACTCAAGGGAAAGCTCTACAGCCCCCAAAGACGTTGTTTGTAGGAACTCAACACAAAGTGTGGTACAGGAATATTCAGAATGTTTCTACTATTATGCATCAAAATACGATAATTGTTATAGCCAGTTGCTCTAGAATAGCAAACACAAGTTTGTTTTATAACTTGTCCCAGTTCTCATATTTAAGATAGAATCGCTATATCCTTTCAGAACCGTTACAGATCATTGCTATTTAAATTCTTTTGATTCTATTTTTTGCTACAGTCTGGGGGGCAAAAGCTGCTAGCATATGAACTTATTTAACATGTGACCCAGTGAACCAGTTAACTTTTCTGATTGAACTAAACACATTTTCCTTTTTTTGCAGTGCTCATTTTTGCCTAAATTCTCCATTCATATAGAAACAAAATACGAAGACAACAAAGGAAGTAATGACAGTGTAAGTATGACCTTGTTTAAAATAATTTTTCAAACCTTTGTAAGAGCTTTGCAAAGTATGCAGCGTGCCTCAGGCTTGCATGGCTAACATGCGGAAAAGGCACTCTTGGGATTTCCTCATCCACACAGCCAGTTCATCAGGAGGCCGTGCAGCTTGCAAAACAATTAAGCAGTGTACAATACGAGGAAGAGTCTTCATTTTAAACCATAGTTTTTGTGATGTGGGCACCTTTCCATTGTGAATAGCACACACACAATAATGCGCCTTTCAGTTGCTACTGATCTAAGCTAAATTCAAACCAGTGATGTAGGAATCAGGCTATAAATCCCCTCAACACTTACCTGTGGCCTCTGTTATCCTAAGTTAATACCCGTTTAATTTTCCCCTTCACTTTCTGACATTGGCAACAATTTAACTTTGATAAAACCCACTTCTTATGGTCAAATGGTCTTGGAAGAGGTGAAAGGATGCAACGCATTTCTCAGAGTGTGCTTGGAGGCCAAATGGCATTAAGAAGATGTGTTTGTACTAACAGCTTGGAAGAAGTAGAACTGCAAAACCAATTTTCAATGAGGTTCCTTCACTAAGAAGTAAGTGCTCAAAAAGTCTTCAGGATGACAGCTTAAGAGCAAAAAATATGACTGCATCAAGCCCTGAACAAGTATCAGATCAGTGAATTTTAAAGCACCTAGTAGGATCCTCTGCTGATACCAGGTCAGAACCCCTCATTGCAGTCAAACTCTGTAAACATTAATTAATTCTTATGACAGTCCCTGTGGAGCTCGTGTTGAATGAATTTTGCCATGGGATATTTTGATCCACAAAGCTGAAGTCATTGGCCCAGTGTTTGATAATAAATTGATGGCAGATCTCCAGAATATGGTCCTTGCATCTTAACACTGACCACTGATGAGGATAAAACCAATGTAGTTTAGAAATGCTGAAAACTAAAAAGCAAACTTTCTGCAGATTAAAAGAAGGAGGACTCTGATTCATAGCCCATTGGTGTTTGTGACCTGGAGCCCCTTAATGCAATGGACTTGGAACCTACTGCTAAATGGGTGGGTTTCAAATTCAGTTTTTATTGTATGAAAGAATTATTTTATGGCAAAATTTGCAGTGAGGCTCAAGCTAAGTCAGTATTTTCCCTATTCAGGGAACCTGCATACAAACAAGTTTTTCCTGCTTTTCATTTTGTGCTGTTTTGTACTAAACTTCTCATTTAAATCCATTTAGCTATTCAACAGCATTAAATAACTATGTTTTATTTCCTTACTCCCTGCAGCAGAAGCCATGTAATTGTAGCCTTTTGCTGCACTGAACCTGTAGCATTTTCATCTGAAAGGCTCTTGTGAATTAGTGGCATTGGGTTTTATTCAGAGATATGCTACAGCTCCCTTCACTTTATCTGCCAACCATCGATGAAGAAATAATTAATCAGAGATGATGCCTTCATGCATTTCTCAATTTCAGTACAGAATATGTTGAGTGATCCATTATAATAGAGTGAGGAATAAATTATTCACCTAATAATACATGAGTGACTTTAGCCAAGCTATTTCTAGACTTTCTGTGTGATTATACAGATTTTTTTTATCATTCTCTGAACTCTGATCCCTTCTTCAGTTGTATACAGTTTAATAAAATAGATATTGATTTTGAAAAGCAACCATTAGATTGAAGGAAATGCTGAAGATAATTATTTTGATTAATGGATGAAAGCAGTGCAAGTACATTAATATTCTGATGTCACTTAATGTGATACATTATGTGTTATCTGATCATTATTTTCTAATTCCAGTAACATATTTTGATAGATGTTTTCCTGATTTTTCTTCTCAAGGTAATGATTACAGAAACTAGTGAAAGACATTAACAGTAACTAGGAATACAATTAAATTATGTATACTGGGACCTGATTTGCCCTGCCTTCCACCTTTTGTCATTGTGTTCACTTATGCTAAGTGAGTGTAAAATGCTGCTGTGTGACCCACTGGAGTTTTGTGTTCACTTTGCACAAGCATAAACAATGACATAAGGTACATGTGGAAAATGAATGGCACTAATGGGTCTCGTGTAGGTGATAATAGTGCAGTATCATAAATCCAACTACTTGTGATTTCTAGTGTTTTGGCACAGCTGATATAACAGCTGTTCATATGGCAACTCTCCCTTTCGAAATCAGTATTGGATGAACATGTTAGTACCTCAAACATTGCCACTGTTACACTGAAGTTTTATGGCATAATTAACAATGCTTGAAACTAGGCTAATGATAAAGGTCACTCAGTTTATTTTAACGGTCTGTTTAGAAGCCAGACCTGGAATTAGAACGTAGAATTGCTGAAAATGAGAATGCTTTATAAAAAATGAATGGCTCCACAATTGGCTTCTTTCCACTAATAAAGAGGACAGCCTCCCACTTGTATCTTTAAGTTAACTGCAGCATCTGCAGCTTGAGCTACTATGAGGCAAGGACCCTAGACAGGAGGGACTGTGCTGGGAAGGGAAAAACTACAGTGCTTACCATAAGGGCTCCATCTGTGAACACTGACAGGTGACATGAGGCCAGGTCCATAATTCACGCGGTTCCTTTCTCATTGATTCGGTGGAAATAATCTGCAACATGGAAAGTTTGTCGTTTTGCTGTAAGAGATTCATATAGGCGGTATGCACGTATTAAAAGCTCCATCGTGAATGGCAGCTCTCTGTTAAATGATTAACAAGTAATACGGAAGGGGATTCTGAAGGTTATCTAGTAACTTAAATGGTAAAAATTCACAGGGGTGAGTGGTATGACTTACTGCTCATTTGTGAATAAGTGGTTTGTCCCTGACTTGCATGAAAAGATCTGTGTCCATGAATTATTGACTTCACTTCTTGATTCAGACAGATCTGGGCTTCTTCTGTTGGCCCTGTATTCATTCAGCATTTCTTATTTCAGATGAGTTGTTTTACTTTAAAATGGTATCAGGATTTTCCCCATCAGTGCTTTCTACAAGGGCTGTGTAGCCCAGAAGCATTGAGACCTGTTTATTTTGTCCTTTTTGGGGAATATAGATACAGCTTAGTTGTCAGTCACAAATAGTCCTTCAGCCAATAACACACTCTGTCCAAGGAAGACCTCATATATTGTAAATACAATAGGATAAAAGTTGTACTGACTTGCAGAGATAATTGGTTCCTGTACAACATCATGACTTTAATACTGACAGCCACATGATAAAATATATGCCCTGATATTTATTAAGTGCGGCTCATAAAAATGTACATTATGTTTAATTTATTAACTGAGAGTGAGCTTGCATTTTTAAAAATATACAACCTTACATTTGAAAAAAGCCCTATGTTTATTTGAACGCAATTTTTTTTTGCCTTAAATGGTCCATAGTCTACTGGAAGGAGAAAGCATTTATTTTATTTTTAGGCAGTAGTGTTTATAGGCTTTGGCTTTTATGGTTCTGTTTTTAAGCTCTCTACAGCTTTCTACAATATCTGTGATTTTCCCTAATAAGTAATAGATCTTCATAACATTTCTTAAAATTTCTTCCTGATCATTGTCTCATTTATACTTCAGATGTGCCAGAGACAGAGGTAGCTATTGAAACTATGAGACTATACCAGGTCCATGAACTGTGAAATAGGCACAAAAATTCATATTGTGACTGGATTTATGATCTTTTGGCTGTAACAATGATGATTTGCTTATCGTCTAACACTTTTTGCTTAATTTGCAAATCATTCTGCTGTTTCACAGTCATTGCCTTAATAAAGAACCAAACGCCTGAGGGAAGTGGCCATCACAGAGAGCATTAGGATGTGTCTATACCCCAGCACCAGTGCGCTCTACAGGGGGCATCCCCAAATACACCCTGCCCATGCATGCCTGCATACACCCTCCAAACCTGATGATGTTTTGAGGTCATTCCCAATGGCCACTTTTATGCATGTCAGACCAAGGTCCCAACAGCAGCTGCAGAGGGGTGCCTGGCATAGCTTCACCATTGGATTTCTGGATTTGGAGAATGCCTCCAGGAGCAGCTGGCAGAAGTGTTGCCACCATGGTGCAGACATGCCCTTAAAGTATGACCATAGTGTTTTCTCCACCAACTTCCCCCATGCTACCAAAAAAAGAGAAAAAGGCTAGGGTACAGGTGGATTGTAATTAAGGTGCAGGCCTAGGATTTGGAATGGGTGGGTTCAGATCCATGCCGTACCACAGGCTTCTCATTTAACCTTGGGCAAGTCACTTAGTACTTGTCTGTATTGCTGCAGTGGCTGGTCCCAGCAAGGATGGGTCTGAGCCATCCCAACTACATCCCACCCACCTGGATTCACTACATACGCCAGACCTGCAGGTTCACTAAGCTGCTTGTCCACAGTGACCACACTCAGGCCTGCCAGAAAGACCAAAGGCCCCCGAGTGAGCATGGGGGATCAGTCCTGGGTAGCCTCACAGGGACATTCCCAGGTCTGTTGCATGCCTATGAACTTTGGGGGTGGGGAGAGCCATGGATGACCCTATCCTTACCAGGACAGACTGCTGTCACAAAAAGACAAGTCCTTGGTCTCTCAGTTTTCCATCTGTAAAATTCACTTTCCTAGCTCATAGGATGTGAGGATAAATAGCTCACGAGGCACAAAAATACTGTCGTACTAGGGGGCATACAAATAGACGGAGAATATCCAAAAGTTTAGGTTTTGAAGATCTCACTGCCGTTCTGTTTTCCAAGAGGGCTTAATCCCATTTAAATAGAAATGGATTTTTGCCTCCACTGGCGTTTCATTTCATATGGTTCAAGAAATATTTTCCATTCTTATTAAAAGCCCACAGGGTCCAATTTTTCACTTGGAAACAGAGTTCCCATTGACTCCAAGAGTAACAATAAATTCTTTTTAATAGATGGCCACAGCTGCCCCATTTTTTGTGGCTTTGGGACAATGCATGATACTTCCGAATGGGAAATGTGTTTGAAGATACGGATTGACCTCAAGCAGTT